AAGATATGCCTCGTCATATTTTCTGCATTTAGCTTTTAAATGACCAGCACCTGCCTGGGTCTGTGTGACTTCATCTATGGCTTTTCTCTTCCCTTTCACAAACCGATCCATCTCCCATTCTAAATTACGTCCTTTGGCTGTTTACTGTTTTATTTCTTTTCTTTTTCTGCTGGTGGCCTGCGCTCGACTTGAAGCAGCGCTGCTTAGAACGATGGGTGTGTCATCAAAGTACCGCGAGAGCTATAAGAGAGCGCAGACGTCTCCTTATGCTTTCTCTCGCCGTACTTTGATGTCATACACCGATCTGATCTTCAAGTCGAACACACCTTTTTACTCTCGCGTGTCACGTGACCGTGTAATCGCAGTCTCTGCGATTGAAAAATCGCATAATTTCATATCGCGATATTATCGCAAATGCAATTAATTGTTCAGCCCTACTCTACACTGCTCAAAACTCATGTTTGAATCGTCAGTGGCAAATTCAGCGGCGGCCTAGAGTTAGCGAAGGCCGATTTGAGTGAGCAGAGGCAGGCGGGCTTGAGAACGGCGCAGCCGGTGGATTCGACGAAGGAGTGGCCACCACATGGGACGACCCCGGGCTGGACTCCGCTTCGTCCTCTTTTGGAAGACCAAACAAAGTAGTTTCGCTTTCACAACAAAACACAAAGCGTCTTCACGACATGGCGGCAGCAACAATAGTACAGCGAGAATAAAAGTTACGCCTTCTTTCTTGTGTGAACATTTGGGCGGCGTTATGCAAATCTTCCCACATCGTGACGTAGATATGTGGGTGCATGTTAGAACGAGCCGTTTTAGGTAGGCGTGGTTGACTCTGAACTTTTATAAAGAATATCTCTTTGGATTTGAGACTTTAGTCTTTGCAACTTTACAATCCAGGATCAGGAAACAGTCCTCCATAAAATGTGCTGCACACATCTGAATATTTGGGTTAAACTGTTCTGGAACAGTGTTGTAAATACAACTTAACGTCTCAAGTTACGTATGTAACCCTAGTTCCTCGAGGGAACGAGACCCTGCATCGAAAATGCTAGGGGAACGCCTTCGGCTACGCACGCTCTGAATCACATGTGAAATCAGTCCAATAGCTGAACGGGACATCACGGCGGATGACGTCATGACCAGGAAGCTATAAAAGCACGTGCCGCGGAGCCAGCGTCAGCTTCTAGGAATGAAGCAAGCGCCGGCAGGGACGCCGGAAGTATGACACCGAGACGCAGCGTCTCGTTCCCTCGAGGAACTAGGGTTACATACATAACCTGAGACGTTCCTCTTCAGGAACTCGAGCTGCGTTTAAAACGCTAGGGGAACGAGAATGCCCACGCCGCCAGACTTCCAAGTCTCTGCCTAGTGTGGAAGACTGCACAACTAGGGCGAGAGAACGTAAGAGCTGGGAGTGGCTCGCATGTCTAGCTCATAAAACCTAACAAAGGTAAGGGGCGTGGACCAACCCGCAGCGTTGCAGATGTCTTGTATCGGCACACCCGCTAAGAAAGCCTTAGAGGCTGCCACACTTCGAGTCGAGTGAGCCTTGACCCCTAACGGCGAGGGGAGATCAGAGGACTCATAACATAAGGAGATGGCATCCACTATCCACCGACTGAGGGTCTGCTTAGTTGCTGGAAGACCTCTCTTAGGGGGACCGTAGAACACAAGCAACTGGTCCGCCCTCCTCCACAGGGCAGCTCTGTGGACGTATGCATCCAGTGCTCGCACTGGACACATGGATGCGTTATGCAAATCTTCCCACATCGTGACGTAGATTTGTGGGGGCGTGTTAGAACGAGCCATTTTAGGTAGGCGTGGTTGACTCTGAACTTTTATAAAGAATATCTCTTTGGATTTGAGACTTTAGTCTTTGCAACTTTACAGATCTTCTTTATGCACCAAGAGCTTGTAACACTCCAAAGAGAAAGGAAAAATTGAAATCGCATCATATGACCCCTTTAATAATTTTTTTTTTACCATTTTTTTATTACAATTCCCATATTGTCAAATCTTGTTTGGGTTTCACTGTATTTATACCCGCCTTGAAATACATTTCATTTACTTGTATGAGTAGTTTTGTGCAATCAAACTGTCTGTGTTAAGTGTATTTGTGTGGCATTGCTTGTCAGGTCTGTCAAACATGATGTCAGATGGAGAGTTCCTGAGAACGAGCTGCGGATCACCAAATTACGCTGCACCAGAGGTCATCTCAGGAAGGTGAGGTCAATTTTATTATAGTCAACCAGCTCATGTACATACAAAAAGTGTTGATATGTGCTATACTTAAAGGAACAGCCCTTTTGCTGCTAATTTACTCCCTCAAGCCATCCAAAATATAGATGAGTTTATTTCTTCATTGATACAGATTTGGACCATATTTTTTTTATTACTTGCATGACTTACTCACAAAATTAATCATCTGCAGTGAATGATTGCAGTCAGAATAAGAGTACAAACAGGTGATAAAAAAAACAATTCACAACTCACAAGTAATCCACACGACTCCAGTCCATCAATTTATGTCTTATGAAGTGAAAAGCTGTGTGTTTGTAATAATCCATCGACTTTTTAACTTTAAACCGTTGCTTCGGGCTGAACTACATATCCTCTATCCATAATATTGGTTTCTCGTCTGAATCAGGAGAGAAATATGCACGGATCAAGCACTGTTTACAAGCAAAAACAGTCCAAAACACTTCTAAACAGATATGTTTGTAGATTTTGATGTGAGAGAACAACAGGGGATGGACTTTTCACCAGAGGAAGCGTTAATATGGATTACTATTTTGGCCAGAAGCGATGGTGTTACACCATGATAATGGATTTGTTTCTCACAAAAACTCAGCTTTTCTCTTCACAAGACTTTAATTGATGGACTGGAGTGGTGTGGATTACTTGTGGATTATTGTGATGTTTTTAATCAGCTGTTTGGACTCTCATTCTGACGGCACCCATTCACTGCAGAGGATCCATTGGTGAGCAAGTGATGTAATGCAAAATTTCTCGAAATCTGTTAAGATGAAGAAAAAAATCATCTACATATTAGATGGCCCACGGTAAAGTCAGTTTTAAGAAATTTTTAAACTATTCATTTAATTCTGATAGTCAAAGGTCTGGCTTGTAGGACCAGCAGTCCAGCAAACCATAGCTAGCTGTGTGCTTTGTAGTATGGACTGCTTGGATACACTGCACATAAATATTATATAAATTTTTTATGTAATACTGATTGTCTTCTTGTTCTTTACATTGCTTCAGCTTCAGCAATGAAACTTCAGCTTCATTCAGACTGATAGACATGTAGAGACAATGTGGAAGCACACATACTCATTCAGTAACGTATATGTTGTGTTTTAGGCTGTATGCTGGTCCAGAGGTGGACATCTGGAGCTGTGGCGTCATTCTCTATGCACTGCTCTGTGGGACTCTGCCGTTTGATGACGAGCACGTGCCCACACTCTTCAAAAAGATCCGTGGAGGGGTCTTCTACATCCCAGAATACCTCAACCGCTCAGTGGCCAGTCTACTTATGCTCATGTTGCAAGTGGACCCACTAAAGAGAGCTACTATCAAAGACATCAGGTTATTAGTTAAAACACTTCTTGAACTTATTTTTTAAAGGGTCGTAAACTACCTTTTTATTATTATTATTATTTTGTACTGTTCTCTGAGGTCAAAAAACGTAATTTAGAAGTAATATATTAAATTTCACTAGCCACACCCAGGTAGGAATGGGTACCGAAACCCGGTATTTAATCGGTCCCGGGGCTTCCACACGAGTGTTCTTCATCTTTTTTCCTGACAGTTCGCGAGAGAGGGGACGGCATTTTGCGTGATGTCGACCTGCGAATGCAGACACGATGGCTGGATTGCGTTTACATTACACTGAGATCCGATTACAATGCGTCCTCGACTACCTCTGGACCAGGACACGCTGATCGAATAACATTCCGATCAGAAGCGCGTTTACACTTGTCTTTTCAATGTGTATGTGGACAACATCCGGATACAGGTCGCATGTTAATGCCAAGTGTAAATGATAGAGGAGAGAACTAAACATTCAAACGTCTGCTTACACTTTAGGCCTGTGGCTGTTTTATTAAGCTAATTTTATTTTATTTTTTTATTTAGATTTTGGCTTTTTAGGATTATAGCCGCATTTCTTCTAGCACAACTTTTTTCCCTTCACAGCGGTGCGCATTCGTTCCTCCCTAAAACCCAAACTTAAAGTCAGAATCAGCACAATCGGTGATTGTTGAAAAAAGGCCGTCTTATACTGTTGCTAAATTGCGGGACATGTTTGATAATAAAACGTTGAAAGCACAATCCGCACAATAGATGCTGTTCCCCAGGCTGAAATGTGTGAAAAATTGTAATATATATATATATATATATATACTGTATATATATTATAAAAATGTTTTTTTTTTTACCAAAACATTTTAATATTTAAAAGAAGACATCCAGGAACATATTTGTTGTTTTGAGTTTTTAATCAATTCATTATTGGATGTTCAATATTTTACCCATACTTCAACTAGGGCTGAGTAAAAATATGTATTTTATGTTTAATTGCAGTCTTGACTTGAACTTACCCTTAAAAATTATATAAATAATATAACCGATATATAACATGAATAATACTTAATAATTCTTCAAATCCAAACATAAATGTTGTGCGATTAGTAGTGTAATAAATACACGATTAATACAGTACTATTGTATTGTATTTTACAGTACTTTTATTTTCTTCCCTCCTGCATGACAGAGAGGATGAGTGGTTTAAGCAGGACCTTCCTTGCTACCTCTTCCCTGAGGACCCCTCGTACGACGCCACAGTGGTGGACGAGGAGGCCGTGCACGAGGTGTGTGAGAAGTTTGAGTGCACTGAAGCCGAAGTACTGAGCAGCCTCTACAGCGGAGACCCTCAAGACCAGCTGGCCGTGGCGTACCACCTCATCATCGACAACCGCCGCATTATGAACCAGGCCAGCGAGTTCTACCTGGCCTCCAGTCCCCCAACCTGCTCCTTCATGGAGGAGGGCATGCCTCTGCCACCAGGGGTCAAACCTCACCCCGAACGGATGCCCCCGCTCCTGGCCGACAGCCCGAAGGCACGGTGCCCTCTGGACGCCCTCAACACCACTCGACCCAAACCGCTGGCAGTAAAGAAAGCAAAATGGCACCTTGGCATACGGAGCCAGAGCAAACCTTACGACATCATGGCTGAGGTTTATCGTGCCATGAAACAGCTGGAGTATGAATGGAAAGTGAGTGGCTCAGAAACACACAGATATTCTTGTTGGACTAGTGAGAATATAGATGTGTTATTGTATCGGTTGTGGTGGGATTTAGGTGGTGAACCCCTATCACCTGAGAGTGCGCCGGAAGAATCCTGTCACTGGGAATTTGGTGAAGATGAGTCTGCAGCTCTACCAGGTGGACAATCGTAGCTACCTGCTCGACTTCAAGAGCATTGATGGTGAGCATCAATCAGACGGTCTTTTCAGACTTTTTAATGCCAAGAAAATCCCCCAAAAAATGAGGATGCCCTTGCTGAAATAAAATGGCAGCTATTTATTTTCCTGTACAGAGATCTACTTTTACTGTACAAGAAAAGTAGTATGATATTATAAAATTATAGTTTAGTATTATAGTATAGTATTAAATAATAATATTGTTAAGTTATTCTTCAGAAGAATAGACTTTTAGTTTAATTTAAATTGGCTTTCTGTGACTTTTGGCTTTGTGTACTAAAGGCAAAACAAATTAGGATCTATGTTGAAAAAAACATTTATATATGGGAAATATGTACTTTGAAAACAACAAAAACTGAACTGGGTTGGTAAGATTTTTTTTTTTTCAATGAAATATTAAAAAAATTATGCTCACCAAGTCAGCATTTTTTAAATCAAAAATACAACAAAAACAGTAATATTGTGAAATAGGACTATAATTTAAATTAACTGTTTTTATTTTAATATATTTTAAAGTTTCATTAATTCCAGTAATGGTATAGCAGTCAATACTCCTGTCTTCAGTGTCACATGATCCTTCAGAAATCATTCTAATATGATGACTTTTCTTATTATTTTCAATATTGAAAACCGTTGTGCTGATTTATATTTTTGTGGAAACAGAGATTTTTTATGATACTTTGATGAACAGAAAGAAAAGCATAGCATTAATACTTTTTTATTTTATTTTTGCAACATTATAAATGTCTTTGCGGGTACTTATTACCAATTCAATGTGTCCTTGCTGAATAAAAGTACTGATTTCTTTCAATAAACTAAATCTTACTGACCCCAAACTTTAGAAAGACAGTATATTTTAACAGAGAAAAAGAAATAATACTCCTATTTTGTAAAAATAGACTTTAAAATCCTCTGTTGTTTTAATGCGAACAAATGCTTCCATGCTTCCACAAATCGTTGGCATTTGTTATTTCAGTAAAAGATCTGCTTTTTGTCTCTTTTGTCACCTGTACAAAAATCCTAGTTGTTCCTCTGTCCTAGATGCATTGAGCTCATGTGGGCGATGTAGGGTTAATCCAGCCTGTTATTCCTCACAATATCTCTCTAATTGAAATTGAAAAAGTCTGTTGCTCACTTTCAGACGATACGATCGAGCTCAAGTCAGGGTCGTCGACTCCCCAGCGCTCTGGCTCTACGGCCGGCCTCCATCGACCGCGCCTCAGCATCGACTCTGCGACCGTGGCTGTTGAGATGCCCCAGCTGAGCAGCTCTCTGCCGGGCTCTCTGACTGGGAGCACGCCTCTGGCTCCGCGGCAGGGCAGCCACACCATGGACTTCTTCGAAATGTGCGCCAGCCTCATCACTACCCTGGCTCGCTGAGACCCTTGCACACCATCATCTGATGGTCTTTACCTCTTTACAGTTAAAAGGTTAAGGGTTGTGATTTTTGGGGTTGGGGTGCTTTTAGGCCAGTCCCACAGTAGCGACACAAACATACAGTGCCTAAAGAGTTTTTGGACTGACCTACAAATGTATGAAATTTATTGCATTAGTTAACTAATAATAATATCAAAGCCATCAGCAAAGAAGTCGTGAATTTTTTTTTTTACAAAATATCTTAATGGAACATGATCTTTACTTAATATCCTTATGATTTTTGGCATAAAAGAAAAATTGATAATTTTGACACAACAATGTATTGTTGGCTATTGCTACAAATATACCCATGCGACTTATGACTGGTTTTGTGGACCAGGGTCACATATTTAAAAATAATGTAAGACATGGCTTAGGTTTTCACTGAAATAATTACAAATTATTAATATTATTATTAATTTGAATTCTTATTAAGTTATAAATGATAAATTCTGATTATATTCCATTGATGTTTGACAATCAGATTTTTTTTTTTACATAATATGTACCTTTTTTTAACAGTACATTGTTTTTTTATTTTAAACCTACCTTGGATCTTTTTATTTTTAATTTTTAAAAAAATTGTATCTAATGCAATGACATTCATTTTGTCCAAAACCTTTTTAGGGCCGCTTTAACCAGAGGTTCTCCTCATCATCATAAGTTTAAATAATTGAAAAACTATAAACATACTTCTGATTTTATATACACATTTTTTTTTTTTACAATATATATTCTACAGTATATTTATATTCTCATATCAGTCACTTGAGTTGTATAGTTTAGTTTAATAGCTGTTGATTGCAATGATATACCAAAAATAGGTTTATACATACAGAGCAAAGATCATTATTTAATTATATTAGAGATTCTTGCTTATTTTACAAAGAAATCATATCTATCATATTATTTAAGTGGCAATTTATGGAGTGAAGAACTTGAGTGTTCTGGGTTTGGCTTGCAGTCTCCAGAGAGCGTTTATCAGAGAGCAGTGTAAATGCTGTTGCTGTATGTCACAGTGAATCTCTGATGATACACGCCATCTGCAGTGGAAAAGCCTGACCGTGACCTATCTGTGTCTGTCTCAGAGACCTTGCTTACATCATGGGCTGTGCTGCTGCCATAGAAAGACAAATATGCTGGAGGAAGGCAGACCGACCAGCCAAAGAGCTTCAGTGTTGTGCCTTGATATGGCTAAAATTCAAACAGAGAAGAATAGAGACGAAAGAAGTAGAGAATGTGCCAGTCATTGTGTTGATACGAGTGAGCCTTTAATTAGACGGCCTTAAAATATTCCCAATGCTTGAGATTACAGACAGCCAGAAAGACCTTATTAAAGCATTCATCCTGAATGACACATTCAGCTTTATTAAATTCATTTATGCTTTAGAACCTAGATTTGAATACTACATAAAACAATTATTTTATGAATCATCTGACAAAATTAAAGAAAAAAAAACTATATTAATATATTACAATGTTTATGTATTAAAATATATATTTTAGCAATCAAAATGTAATATATGCAGTACGCATTATTAAAGGATTTAGCTAAGCATAATTTAAGTTTAAGATTATATCTATTATATATCAATTTCATTTCTATAGCTGCTACACTACCTGTCTAAAGTTTGGGGTATGTAGGTAAGATTTTTAAATGTTTTCAATGTCTCTCCTGCTTAACAAGGTTGCATTTATTTGATCAAAAATACAGTAAAAAAATGTTAAATATTATTACAATTTAAAATAACTGCTTTCTATATGAATATATTGCAAATTGTTATTTATTTCTGTGATGCAAATGTGAATTTGCGGCAGCATTCAGCAGGAATATGATGATTTGCTGTTCAAGAAACATTTCTAAATTATTATCAATGTTGAAAACGGTTGTGCTGCTTTATATTTTTGTGGAAACCATATTAAACTACCATTCAAACGTTTTGGGGTAAATAAGAAAAAAAAAATAATAATTTCATCAAGGATGCATTAAATTGATCAAAAGTGACAGTAAAGACATTTATCATCTTACTAAAGATTTCTATTTCAAATAAATACTGCCCTTTTGAACTTTATATCCATCAAAGGATCCTGAAAAATAAAACATCACAGTTTCTCTAAAATAAACACATATTCAAATGATTTCTGAAGGATCGTGTGACACTAAAGATTGGAGTTATGATGCTGAAAATTCAGCATAGCATCACAGAAATAAATGACATTTTGCAATATATTGACATAGAAAACAGTTGTTTTCATTTGTAATAATATTTCACAATTTTTACCGTATTTTGGATCAAATAAATGCAGCCATTCAAAGAGAAGAGACATTCAAAAACATACAGAAATCTGTATCAATCCCAAACTTTTGAAGTAGACTTGCTTAAACATTATATAGGTGGTGTGTATCTGATGAGAACATATAAAGTGACCCAAGCCAAGAGCATTTAGAAGAGCGTCACGTGACCCCCTTCCCTGGGATGCCTTAAATAGATTGTGAACTTTATTGTTTCTAATCGAATATGCTTTAACATATGTTTATGCGTGTGGTTGTTTGTATGGAGTAGATACAATGTACTTATTAGTTACACATTTATTCTTTATTTAAGCTCACCTCTGAAGTGTTACTTGTGAACAAACAACAAAAGAAGTGGGGATTCAGAAAGTGGATTTGTTGTAGTTGTCTTTGTGCCAACGTGTATGAATGGACAACTACAACACAGCCTGCCAGGAAATAGCAGTGGAAGATGACTGAAAATGAGAGGAATGAATACTATATGCAGATTATACACTATGAGAAATCATTCAATCAAACACAGCAGCCAAAAAAAAGAGGTTTTCGGTTCAATCATTTGAATCAAACATTTGTATTTGTTTTGAATTAGTAACAAGCTAGATCTCAGTCATTTTCACATTCAGTCCTGCTGGTTCATAATTCATAAGGACAAACTTGATCACAAATTGTATTTGTAAGGAATGGTTGAATGGCTAGCGTTGTGTGCATGAGCAGAGCGTTTGTGTGTTTTGTATAAGTATGCTGGATTTTTGTGATACACGGCTGCTGTTGTACCATTTTAACTCAACGTAAAACAGAAAGATGGAACGTTCTCGCAGAAATCGCTTCATATCATTTATATGAAATGCAATAGATGTGATGCCTCTAAAAAGTTTAACGGTTATGCATAAACTACACTGCTGGGGGATGTTTTTTTGTGATTACCGGAGAAGATTAGACTGGATTATGGTGTTGTTTTCGTGGAAAAATATTGCACAGTCTGAAATTCTTTAGAGAAGTTAAAGCCTTTGCGCATTCTTAACATTTTCCCCACAAATCCCAAGTTCACTCCAGGTCGTTTTGAGGATCAGTGCGACTTTTTGGAGGGGGGGGGGGGGGGGGAAATGTACTGATGTAAAGCTTGAGAAAATAGACTGGTTTAGGGAGCTTATCGCTCCCTGCTGCTGGACTTTGCTATTACATTAAAGCAGCACTATGTAACTTTTTCTCTGTTCAAAATTTGCAATATGTATATAATGAGCGAGTACATCATGAATTCATCTTCCAAACTGTGTTTTTGTCTTATTCCGAAACACTACCGTACACTTATAATAAGTACTTATATTTGGACTATTGTAGCCTGGTCGGGTCGTCACCGCTGCGGAGTAACACATACCTGCGTGAATCCCCATAGACATAAACTTAGATGGAATGTTCTTCCGCGGGATGTGTGCAGTTCTGTTTATTAACCGCTAGAGTGCCAAAAGTTACATAGTGCTGCTTTAAAGGGATAGATCACCCAAAAACGAAATCGTTTAACTCATTCATGTCGGTCTAAACATGTATGAGGTTCTTTCTTCTGTTGAACACAAAAGAAGGTATTTTGAAGAATGCTGCTGGTAACCAAACAGTTGATGGTAGCCATTGACTTCTATAGTATTTTTAACCATACAATGGAAGCTAGTGGCTACCAGCAATTATTTGGTAACCAGCATTCTTCAAAATATCTTCTTTTGTGTTCAACGGAAGAAAGAAACTCATACATGTTTGGAAAAAGTGGTGGGTGAGTAAACAATGACAGAATTTTCATTTTTGGGTGAACTATCTCTTCAGTATCAGATTTGGATGGGAATGGCAGGAATGTGTGCGTGCTTCATGCAGTTGTGGATAGTATTTGTCATATTTAGAGGCGAGATAGCAAAAGTCTCTTATGTCAGTTTAATGTCTGTTATATCAGCCTTATTGCTTTTTTTTGTGGAAACTGGTCAGAAACTTTACGGCCCCCATTAGTTTGACAGGGGCGTTTGTGTGACGGCCATGGCTTCAGCTCATGTTCAGTGTTTTTTGTCTATGTAGAGGCGTTTGTGCTGGATATTATACCCTCCCTCTCTCTCCAGTGTATGTGTTTTCTGCCTGTTCCCGAGCCCTGCTGGGAGACGACCTCTGCCTGTCAGTGTCTACATGTCTGTACTGTACATGTGTGCGTGTCACTTCCTGTCTGTGTGTGCGGTTTAAATTTGAAAAGTTATGCACTGCATGGTGTTCCTGTTCTGATTTGCACTTTAATTTTTATTGTTAAAAAGAAAAAAAGGGAAAATAAAGCGCTATATGCATTTTGGAGTTTGTGTCGTTATTTTGATTTAATTTGAAAAAGTATATACCGGTGTGTGTGTGTGTGTGTGTGTGTATATATATATATATATATATTAGCATGTTATGTGTAATTATCATATCTATTTTTAATTAAATAATGATGCATTAATTAAATTATTTTACACTACTCTTTAAAAGTTTGAGGTCAGTAAGACTTTTTTTTTAGACTAAAGACTTTTATTTAGCTAGTATGCATTACAATTGATCAAAAGTGACAGTAAAGACATTTACAATTTTACCAAAAAAAGTTCAATTTCAAACCAATGCTGTTCTTTGGAACTTTCTATTCTTTAAGTATAATGTTTTCCACAAAAATGAATGAATGAGTAAATAAAAACGGTTCCATTTTAGATCATAATGAGAAATGTTTCTTGAGCAGAAAATCAGCATATTAGAATGATTTCTGAAGGATCTGAACACTATCATGCGTGACACTGAACTTTGCATCACAGCAATAAATTACATTTTCAACATTTGACATTTTTACTTTTACTGTATTTTTGATCAAATAAATGCAGCCTTGGTGAGCATAAGAGACATTTGAAAACATCTGACAGACTCCAAACATTTGAATCCTTTACTTAAAATAAACAGAGCAACTATTTTGAAATAACAAAGGCTGAAGATACACAACTGTGTCATGTATCGTCTTCACCAGAAAACTTTTACAAAATAAACAACACTTAAACTTGCACTACAAGCACGAGCATATTTTCCCTCATGTAGAGTAACCTTGAAGACTGGGAATACTTAAACATGCTTGTAAAATATAAAACAAATAATATAATACTAATTCATCTAATACAAATACAAAGTATGTTTATAAAAACCTTTAAATTGCAATTCTAAACTTCTAAGTAAATGATACCACAAAAATAATGATGACTTAGGAACTGCATTTTAATGTTGACATTGCAATAAACTGTTAAAACTGAACCCAGATGTGAAGCTGTTTTAACCTGCGCAAGCTGTCATTTTTTTTTATTCAAATTGTTTAATTAAGGATTTTAAAATTATCAGACAACCTCAGACTAGACAGACTGTCTTTGCCACATAACTCATAACTAACACTTAGATCTAATGGTTTAAATAATCCGAAGAGCTTCTCACCACACCATACATGGGCCTTTTTTCACAGAATGAACATATTATGCATGAATATAGAAGAACTCGCCTGCAGCCACTTACAGACTGATGCACAATCACAAACATAATTCTTCCCACTTGACAGACACGTCTCCGTTTGAGCTTGTGTGGGTGACAATTACTGTGGTGCTCATCAAAACACAGCCCACAGGAGGGTTATGAACTCAGAAACAGTGAAGATCCAGCGCAGTTCGTCTTTCCCCCTCGCAGCTGGAGTTATTTGACTATTTTGAGACGAGTTTGATTGGCCTAGAATAGACAAACATGTTCTCTAAAATGTCAGTAAACATCATTGTAGCCTAAAAAGGCCAGAGGTTAGGAATAACCAGGGAAAAATTTATAGCAAGCACTAAATGTTCAAAAGTCAAGGGGGAAGTAAAAAAAAGACTAAGAATAATCTATCTTTCCATATGAATATATAAGGAAGAGAGAGGCTAGTTGTCACATTATATTTGAGGCGATTTTATCCTCAATTTTTTAAAGGCTAAAAGTATGTATAATAACTATATATATATATATATATATATATATATATATATGTGTGTGTGTGTGTGTGTGTGTGTATATATATATATATAT